CTCTCTCTCTCGTCTCTCTCTCTCTCTCTCTCTCTTCTCTCTCTCTCTCTCTCTCTCTCTATTATATATATATTTATATATATATAATATATATATTATATATATATATATATATAATTTTATATATATATATTATATATATAATTATATTTATATATATATATATACTTATTATATATAATTCAGTATAAATGTATATGTTTCGCTTTAGCCGCCATTCCGAAACCATTACGCACCTAATGGAATTTAACTGTCGCATTTATATTGTATGCTATAACGTGTTTGCAGCGAAATTTCTTAAACCCCAAAACGAGAAATCATGATGTTTAATCATCAGTCACAGCAGATTTAAGCGACAGGTTTATTTTTTAATATAAAAATAGCTCCCGTTTACATTTTACTCGTATTTCAACAAATACTGAATTTATTTAGATCCCGTATTTCTTGGACAGCGCATTTTGCCTCGTGTAAACGCTAAATACCGAATTTCTTGCTACGTGTTAACGCGGCTTTAATATAGCCGCATTCACACGTAGCAAGAAATTCGGTATTTTGCGTTCACACGAGGCAAAATGCGCGGTATTTCATAAATACGGAGTCTCGTGTGAACGCAGCTTATGTGCTGATAATTAATATTTCAGCTGGACGAAGCCCAGCATACCAGGACCCGTGGTCACGTGGGAACAGACAGTGTCGCGGATGAGGGGGCATGATTTTATTATAATAATAATAATTATTATTATGGCCCTTAACGGGTGGGGTCCAGAGGAGCCCGCCCCACTAGGGCTCTGGCGGGGTGCAGGGGCAGACCCCTGCCGGAGTCCAGGGTGTGGGAGCCCGGAAGCTCTTGGATTTGAGCTATTTAGAACTTCAAATTCTAATTGCAATATTTGTGAATTCTAGGTTGTTGTTTTTTTGGATCCCATAGGCTTAATACCCCCCCCCTCACACACACACACACACACACACAAAACAGTGGCTGGATCCAAGAGTTGAATTCTAGGGGGCGGGCGATCATGCGAGTCAAGAGCACGAAGCCGCCGAAAGGGGCAGGTGTTGGGAAAGGGGTGCTCTCCCTTCCACTGTGTGGAAATGTTTAAAAAGTATTGCAATTCTAAAAGCCAATCAATTTGGACATCTTTATTCATAACATTATCACGCAGATTTTCCCTGCCTTCAGGGGTGCCCCCCTCCTGTTGGGAGGGGGGGGGGTGTCGGGGGACCTCCCGAAAGTTGTTGCAAAATTACACCTCTTAGAATGCAATTTCCTGGCACTCTGAGAACAACATTATTAAGACAATCTTTCATTACAATAGTGTCACGGTGTTGAGTTGAGTATTTTTATCTTTGGGGACACCCAAGACTAAAATACGTACTACGGAATCCTGTGCTATGTACATGATTGTCCTCACTGGGGTTACTAGGGCTAATAAATACACTTGGCCATTGAAATCTTCTAGGGGTGACGCCCCTGTGCCCCCCCCCTGCGATCAAACCTGAAACAAACTTACAGCACTGCGAATTATCTCGCCCTGAAATTTTGGTAATAAACGTATATTTTACTGAGAACGCTAAAACTGTACAAAAATAAATGAGAGAAACACAACCAGATGGAACCCAAAAAAACATATTTTTTATCGCCGTAATACAAAATGGAATTATCTTCCCCGGTCCGGGTCTCAAGCACAGCACCATCCCCCCCCCAAAAAAAGTATGACGAAATTAAAAATTTTCCCGTTCAATCCCGTGAAAACTCAATATCCCCAACTTCATAGGACTATTCTAATTTTGAATAAAGCAGGGATTGTTTAGCTCTAGGTTCTAGAGTTATTTTCAGTTAATTTAGGTTAAATACGCACATAAAAAGTTTCATTGGTTCCAATCACCATTAGAAATATTATTAAAAAATGTTTTAAAATTACGGCTACAGTTTGATTACAACGACGGTGGCGCACTCAAAGCGCACGATCTGATAAGTTGCGCAAAAACCACTTCCAGCAAGGGCTACAGACCGAGGGTGTTTCTTTATATTCATTTAAAAGCAAAAGGATTGTAATATCTTATAAACGACATATAGTTTCAGTTATAATATGGATAAATTTGCCCTAAAATGAATATGGTTCGGTTAAATAGCATTTAGGTATAAAATATAATTGCACTTTTGTGATTAGCCCTCGGTCTGTAATGCTACGTTTACACTATGTTCCCGGCGGCCACGGCAGCCACGGCAGCCCAGTTTGCCCGAACACGTAGTGCGCCGTAGGATTATGGCAATTTTCTTTCTCTGTATTCAAGTTTTGTTTAGGTCTTGCCAAGTTTTCTCAGCGGTCTATCACGGTATCCGTGACGGGCCGTGGGGGGAAGGAGCTGCTGAGTCCCGGAGGGTCCAATGCGCACTACGGTTCGGTCCGCGCGTCTACCACGATGCCAGTATGTTCCCTCCCGGCCGTCACGTTCTGATGCAGGGCGGATCCAGATTTTTGAGAAGGGGTGTTCCACGAGAAGAAGTAAAAGGCACTTTTTCCTGCTTACTTTTTCTGGTGTTTTAAAAGCTGCCGAAGGCCACTTAGGTGGGGTTTGGGGGACCTCCCCCAAGATTAAAAAAAAATTGGTGCATTCTGAGAGCATCTGACAGTAATTTTGATGTCTAGAATGCAAAAATTTATCAGATCGCGTCCCCGGACGCCTGCGACCCCTCTTTGCCCATTTCTAGATTTTTATAACGAATTTACATATATATAAGTAAATCTTTACCAGAAAAACTAGCGCTAAACAAGATTTTTTTATGGAGACAATATAAGAGAAGTGTGTGTGTGTGTGTGTGTGTGTGTGTGTGTGTGTGTGTGTGTGTGTGTGTGTGCGTGCGTGCGGCGTGCGCGTGCGTGCGTGCGTGCGTGTGTGTGTATGCTTTTTTCCCTTTTTTGGGTAAAAAGGGGGGGGGTCCGGACCCTCTCGACCCCCCTCTGGATCCGCCCCTGTGATGGGGTTCCTCACGTTTCTCACGATCTGATCAAGGTCTGACACGTTTTTCACGTTCTGTCAAGGCTTTCTACGGATGAAACGTGGACGCCGCGCGTACGTCCCTGCTCCTCCTGCACCTCCTTTTCAGCATTCATAAGCCCACATAGTTTGCTGCTAGATGGCAGCACAACACGAATAATCGAAAGTCCAAAATAAACAATAAAATACGTATGCATAGCGAGAGCGATACGGCGCGTGCATATTTGCTAATTAATTAGACTAATCGTGGCTGAATAGACTCAAATTTCACAGAGATCAAGGCTAAGACATGTGTCTATAACAGCTCGAATTTATAGAAATGTAACTCAAATCGTTCGCTCCATATGATAGTTAGTACACGTTCCTACCGGTCATAGCATAATAGCGTATGCGGCGGGAGTGGGCGGGGTCTATTTTTATCCTCCAATCCCAGGTCGGAGCAACTCCTCTGTTTAGACGCTGTTGTCATCACCGAGCTCCTTGGTCATCACAACCATAGATACTAACCCAAGTAAGTACCCATACTAACCCAAGTAAGTAACCCATGTAACTAACCCAAGTAAGTAACCCATACTAACCCAACCCACTTGGGTTAGTATCTATGTCACAACATTCTTCATTTTTCTACGTATGTTTACCGCAATGTGAATATATAGTGCAATCTATATTATTAGTTGGTGAAAATGGTTAAAGTTGCTATCGTTGGAGGCGGGCTACTCGGAGTGAAAATCGCAGGTAAATCTACAGACTATAAAGTATAATGTAAAAACTATAATAACACCAGGAGTAAGATAATATAGGATCCTATATTATCTTACTCCTGATAACACTAACACTAACACTACAGAGTACAGTATACCCTACTCCCTAGACCGAATAATTCTGTCCCATATAACCTTTTTTATATTTTGGTGATGGTTATTGGGACAGAATTATTCGGTCTACCCTACTCCCTAGTCAGTAGTTAGCCTTTGACTTTGGGCCAGAACGTGGTTCACTGGTTATAACTATATGCTAGAATAGACTTGACCCCTTCCGCCCTACGATGACTAATTTCAATAGATGATCACTGCTTAACAAAATTTTCATCTGTTTTAGGTGACTTAGCATATCATGGCCACACCGTGAAAATATACGATCGAAACATGAAAACTCTGGACTCCATCCCTCTTCGGATAGAGGAGGACAAGCAAGAGCTTAAAGACGAAGGAATTCTCGTACAGGCAAACTATACTGTAATCATTTTGGCTTTTATTCTGTAGTGACGTGAAAGATGGGTGATGGCCATTCTCTTGTTAGATGCATTGCGGCCAAAGCCTGGTTTAGCACCCTTGCGAAAACTAATTTGCGTTGTACCAAACTATCCTTGATCCTGCATTGCTACATAGCAGTCGTTGAAATTGGCATAAAATAGGCCAACAACGACACAATCTTGAAGTGTTAACATTGGCGGAGGTCTGTGCTCTCCGAGTGCTCTAGTTTTCTATGTTGTCCTGTGTTTTTTGTGTGTGTTTTTCTGGTCTGTTTGCCTGTAATTTCACTGCTCTCTCCCCTCCCCTCCCCTCCTCTCATTGCTGTACCTCATCTGTCTCGCAGGGTCGCATCGTCTGCCTCAGCCAGCTGGAGGAGACCGTCTGCGACGCAGAGTTCATCTTCGAGGCAGTGGCCGACGACCTCGAGGTCAAGCAGGACGTGTTTGAGCGAGTGTCGCACTGCTGCCGCGCGACCGCCGTCGTCGCCACCAACACGCTCGCGCTCAGCGTGGACAGCATCACGCAGCGCATGGCTCACAGCGAGGTAGGTCGCGCGGGCGGGGGTCGCACAGGGGTCGCGGTCGTGCACGGGGTCACGTGGGCGGGGTCGCGTGGGCGGGGGTCGCACAAGGGTGTGGTCAGTACCTCTTGGTGGTGAATGTGGGTGAGAGTATGTGTGAAAATAAGTTTGAGTGTACATGCACACATGGTTATGGGTGTGTATGTGTGCACCCCTCCATGTGCAGATGTGGCTGCGCTGTGTTGTTGCTTTCAGAAAATAGCCAAGACATTCTCAACGCCCTCATATCAATGTCTAACCCGAGTAGTTTTCACAGTGGTTCATCACATTAGAGGGGGTTACTGAATGTCTGATATGATGAAATATTTTACATCACACGCTTGAATTGCACATTAATTCTAATTTTCTCCTTTAGAGGGCTCTCGGATTGCGATTTCTTTATCCAGTCTACTGTATATCGGAAATCGAAGTAACACCGTCCACACATACCTCTGCAGAGACGATGGAAAAAGGTGGGTCTTGTTTACCTGTACAGTTATCGTAAGATAGTCTACATTTTCTTTCAATAATTGACTTGTGAATTGTGTTGAAAGTCTTTATAATAGAAATTGCGACATGGAGGCATGGAAGCAGTAACTATTTGTCGATAGCAGTAATCGACTCATCCACCTGAGCACAAGAATGATACACTATTAGGAATTTCTTGCTAAGTCTGTCAAATTCACCTAATTTATGTATCAATGTCCACTTTTATACGCCAAAATATTTCTGGCTTCCTGGCACTTAGTACTAAGCATAATTTTTTGAACGCCCTATTACAGCCCTGATTGGCTGGAACTGGCTGTCAGTCACCGCGTCAGTTAACTGGATAGCGAAATTGTACATAGTTGCAACAGTAGCCATAGAAGTAATATCAGACATAGCTTGTAAGTCATTAAAAAAGATACTGGGAAGAGGAGATGTGAGCCGGGGGCTGTCACTGCCTGTGGTCATTAAACAATCTGTGATTTCATTAAACAGCTCTGGTAGAACCCCTGACTAATGCTCAATCAGATTATTTCTACCCCATTCCTACTGTTTTCTCTTTTCCTTCCACTTCCACACTTTTAGAATTAAGTTCCATTCAATGGTTGCATGCCATAAACCCCATCGAATCGCATCAAAACAACATCGAATCATCCGCCACCATCTACGCGATCGAATAGGTTGCTTGGGTGTCACATGTACACACACGTTCTTCATCTAGCTGCCTCTGTGAATTTTCTAGTGAGAGTCTTCATGGAGAAGATGGGGAAGACGCTGTTTCTGCGATCCGGATCTATCCCGCTGATACTAAACATCGAACAGAGAGAGTCGCGCAAAATGGGTGAGAGAGCAGTGTTAGATGGTTATAGCTAATAAGTGGTGGACAAAGGCCACCAGTGATTTAAGTGGATTTACATAAGGAGTAGTACACAATTAGCAACAGGATGATATACATGTGTGTTGTGTGTGTGTGTTTGTGTGCATGCGTGCGTGCGTACGTGCATGTGTGAATGCGGGCGTGCACGGTGTGTGTGTGTGTGTGTGTGTGTGTGTGTGTGTGTGTGTGTGCGCGTGCATTTGTGTAGGCACGTGCGTTTGTGTAGGTGCGTGCGTGCATGACTGTATATATATTTATTTATATATAATTGACTTTCAATTGGTACGACCCCCTCCTGGGGCCTCCCTCATCCATCCATCCATCCATCAACGACATGCCTTCTAAAATTCCCGGGCACAACCTTCTTGATGTTAGTTACTAACAGTAACACGCGTCATGTGTCGTTTACCAGCCTACGCGCAGAGCTTGAAGAATCAGCGGAACCTGGCATACATGATGGTCGACAGGCTAGTTCCGGAGCTAGCGCACCGAGGGAACATACTGCCTGGCGATCCGGAACTCGATGGAGGTAGCTGACGGATGAATTGCTCTCATCCTGCGATCTGTTATCTTTTATGCCATCGTTTATCTTTTATGCAATCTTTTATGACCTGCAAGTTTTCATCAGCACTCACCTGGGATACCCTGCTGTATAGGAGGGCTCATTGTTTTTCTGTTCTCTGTACACTCATTGTGCTATGCAACTGCTAAACCTCGATGATCCCCAATAATTATTTATTGTATACTATTATTGCATTATTGTATTATTGTATGTAAGTTATTGTATATTTTCGTATATTATTTACCCCGTTTATATTATTTACCCGCATTGTATTATTGTATATTTTTGTACATTATTTACCCCGATCGTTGCGTGTTTCTCGTACATCCAAGGTTCGTACGGTGGTGAGGACCACGACTGTGCGATCTGCATGGACAACCCACGTAACTGCGTGCTGCGACCCTGCCACCACATGTGCACGTGCAACGACTGCGGCCAACTGCTGCTCAACCGACGCGACGGCTGCCCCATCTGCCGCAAGGAGATCGCCGAAGTCATCCGCGTGTTCCACTCGTAGCGGCGCCCCCTGGTGCCATCGCTCGCCAACGCGACCGGGGATGGTCGTGCGAGGGAGGTTCAGCGGGGATGCAGGTGGTGGCGCCATCTCGTGGTGTTCGTTGCAGCCAAGGACGATCGCAGGAGGATGGTTCGTGTGGCCGGGAGCGAGTGGATGGTCGAGCGACCTGGTTCGACTGTCGTGGTCGTCTGCGTGGCTAAGGGCTGTGTGTGGTGCTGTCAAGGGAAGTGATCGTAGTGCAGATGGGAGAGGGATCACTGGAGAAGGGGACTACTGAAGAGTGCATCGGGTGAAGTGACATTCTAGTCAACTTTTTCGACGATTACGATTTTTTTCCCGTTAATTGTAACCCATGTGTCCCCGTAATGTGTCCTCCCAATTAAATGTAATTGTGAATTGTAATTTAATCTAAGTGTGTGTGTTTTTGTGGTGCGTTGTGGGGATGCAACTGGGGAATCAATCCCCTGTTGCGTCCCATCTTGTGTAAGTTTTACGATCCCTAGTTCAGCCGTGGGTAGACGAATTGCGTGTGAAGTGATGCGAAGAGAAACTCCGAAAATAGTTAGATCTTCACAAAACTAGTCAGGATTTCCAATAACATTTAGTTTCCTCTAGGATCTAATATCTATATGTAGATATATCTATATAGGGTCTAGGACTCTAGGATCTACGTATTCTGTTCTGATGGTACATCGATTGCACGAATATTTGGAGATAATTTCGTATGCGTCCGTCAGGTGGCACCACTACACCATGTGTTCTGCGCCTGGCCTTAACTTGCATATCGATTATGCTTAGAGGAATGAATGGAAATCCTTTTTAAAACTACAATATTATTTATATTTTTCCTACTGTTATACCACCATGATTGTGAGGGAGTGTATTTGTTAGTAGTTTGTTCTATTAATTGTTGTTATTGTTGTTGTTGTACAAGATGCAAACTAGCCACCCATTATTTTAGATAGATAGATAGATAATAGGTTTAATTTTTGTGACACCTACTGACCTGGGTGCGTAAAGGGTGTATTTTAGTGTCAAATATGTTATTTATTATCATGTTGCACTTAGACTCTACGTCTACATTCCATGAGAACCAATCGTTGATAGATTATGATATGGAGGTGGGATCTCTGGTTTATTTGGAAAGCGTACATTGTTACTGCTATCAGTCATTACCTTGTCATTATATCCAGTGTAGTGGACACCGACAAGTACGAGAACATAACATAACATAACATCAGTATTTGTGTGATGATGATGAGAGAGCACGGGTTTAGTGTGTGTGCATCTGTTGGTTGTTCAGTAATCAACAGGTTGCACTATTTATATTAGCAAAAAACAAGACTAGTCATTTTCGTTTTTACCAAGGTACCAAGATTTGTTAGGTTGACGTGATATAAACACGTGCATAATGTAAACACACGCGATTTAAATAAATAGCATCAAGAGCTAATAATATATGTATTATTATCTCATGATAGCATGTACACATATGATCATGTACATTGTGTAAACACGCGAGCAAGATAAACGAGCTTGTGATGTAAATATGTACACAGTTGTAAACACGCACATGTCGTGTTCCGCGATGTTATAGAATGTTAAAGAATAAAGGTGATAATAATAATAACGAGCACTCGGAGAGCGCAGACCTCCGCCAAGGCAGCTCAATTCTCTCACTGTGAAAATTTTTATTAATTAATTAAATAATTAATTGGATCCGGATCACCACCAAAATGTAATCAATTCTAAGTTAACCCATTTCTGACCTATCCTGAAAATTTTATTAATTAATTAATTAATTGGATCCGGATCACCACCAAAATGTCATCAATTCTAAGTTACCCCATTTATGACCTATCCTGAAAATGTTATTAATTAATTAAAGCCGCATTATATAGCCATCCCGGAGAATTTGAACAACATTGGAGGTATTTTCAAATACCTTTTATAAGACAACGCGCAGTGAAATGGGAGGAACTAGAGTTTATTTTGTCATAAGGTAGTGTGATTATGCATGACACGAAGTATTTGCTAGTCTAGTACTGGAGAAATTAGCGTTTATGTTGTTGACATTTTCGCGTTGCTCTGCCAAGCAACCGTGGAGCGGTGCTGCGGTACAGCGGTACGGGTGTAGCAAAGATAAAAACATGTGACGTCACCTAACCGATTCTTGGCGAAATTGTTTGGCAAACAATTTAGCGTTGGCGCCAGATTACCAGAGTTCGCACCTCTTTCTTGTGGGTTTTAAGCAAACGCGCACTGAAATGTGAGGAACTAGAGTTTATTTTGCCATAAGGTAGTGTGATTATGCATGACACAAAGTATTTACTAGTCTATCGTATTGGAGAAATTAGCGTTTGGATGCGCATTGTGCGGCTTTAACCGCGGTAAAAATAATTCAACCGCGGCATTCTGAGTATGCCGGCCAACCATAATCACCGACCCAACTGATAATTTTGGCTTTATATAATAACTCCGTTAAGCAAACCGAATCTTTTGTCATTAGAGTTGAGCAATAACAGCTAATGTGTCCCTGAAAAAAACCCATGTATATATATATACATAATAGAAAATCTGTTCTATTATGAATTTATGGTACTCTTGATATATTAATGTGTTGATGTGTTAATATGCACAGTCATATAAAGATACATATTTAGCAAAGAATGTGTGGACGTTAGGACGTTGACATTAGACGTTGAGGAAGTCTCACACCCTAGTTGGAGTACGTGTCCTGCTGAGTTGCTACCATTACCACTACTATTGCTGCTGCTGCTGAATCTACTGCTACTGTACGCCTCGGGTGCAAGCATGGTAGTGTCTGTTCGCAGTGTCCATTTCCGGACATTTAGACGTTTTTACAGGCCCTATATACATATATACTCTGGTTCATGCCCCCGTGCGATTGGAATTATATAAAAATGGTGCAGATAATCACACTGTTCCATTTTCCTTACGGTACGCGTACAGCGGTGTCTGTTATCGCCTCTGCCTATAACCAGTTGCGCACGTCCCAATTAATTTGAAATATAATACATTCTACATATACAGTATTAGTGAATAGCAAACGTGGTTGTTTACAGACGTGCCTATTACAAACGATATATATTATTATTATTATTATTATATATATAAGTCTGGATGCTTGAGTCTATACTGTCGGTAGAGTGCACGATGCATTAAGTTGCAGAGCGTAATAATGCTTCATTACCGTCTGTCTGATTGTCGCGTAAGCGTGAAACTAGGAGTAACAGCTAAAAGTGATGTCTTGTCTTTAATATCTACAGACTACAATATATAATTATTATATATATATATATATATAATATATAATAATA